AAACACAGCAATACACAGACCAGTGCTATGCCACTTACAAGAATTTTTGACCACAAACCATTTAAACCAGGCTTGAGGGCCGCGGATTAAAATCACCCACCTTGGGTTTGGTAGCATAACTTTTTGTCCATTAGACCAACATAGAAGGATGTTTGGGAAAAAAAACTAAACACATTTAAACCAGGTCTAAGGGCCTGCGCCCCGAGGGCTCTAATGGATTTTTAAATAGGCGGCCTTATTACATTACCTTACTTCCCTTAGTGTATCAACATCCCACCCATCCCAGCTCCTACAGGGATTTGGTGGCAATTTTCATTACAGGTGGCTTCCTCCCGGTGAAGGGCCAGCACAGACCCTCTGGAAGACAGGCCCATGCCTATGTGAGGGTGGCACCTGTCACAGGCACCCTCTCTTGGGGTTTATCAGCTGAGCACTGGGTGATCGATGGCTGTGATCCAACTCATGTCACAGATGTGTGGTCGAGTGCAGGGCTCAGATACAGGTTGCAGAACAAGTGTTGACCTGAGAGCCCCTGGGCCAGCCTGTGTCCTGGGCGCTGCGAAGTTCAACCTGTGGAACTGGACCCTGATGCCAACTGGTTTGTTTGTCAAACATTCCTCTGTGTTGGCTAGTGGACAGAAAGGAGTTGGTGTCACTCCTTCCACCTTCAACGGAGCGTTCTGGACTAACACCGCCGCCTGTCCCTTTGCATAGGGAGGCCGGGGGGCACAGTCTCTAGGGTGACACTGCTAAACACAGCAGTACCTCTGCCTGACGGTTCGAATCCACCAATGACTTTGAGGGAGCAATGGGCACTCTCTTTCTGTGTCATTTACAGCCTCTGAAAACTCACTCAAGGGCCTGCTATGGGACAGTTCTGACTCGACAGCAGTTTGAAGTCTGATTTTCTTTTTCAGCTCTTGAAGGTGCTGCCACAGTGGGCTCTCCTTGCGCCTGTACTCATCAAGTAATGGCTGGAGCTTCTCAGAGTCCTCCACAGGCGAGCAGCTTGCCCCTGCCCCCAGTTGTGGGTGGGACTCGCTCTGAAGGCCTCAAAGCGTTGCTGCACTGAAGAGCCTCCGCCCACCACGTGCCGCTTTCCTCTCTTACCCTCACTAAAATCTCATGGCACTGATTCGCGATCAAGTGCAGGGCTTGGACACAGGTTGCAGAATGTGTTGACCTGGGATCCCAGGCCATTCTTTTCTAGCCAATGCAGACGCCCTGGGCCTCCTCATTCTCTCCGCCTATGCAGTGTGGTGGCCTGGTCCCTCGTCTGACCACACGACACTCGCTGGTCGGCTTCTTGCTGTAACATCAAGTAGAGCCCCTTCCTCAGTGACTCATGGTCTTTTCCTTCACCCTTTTGACAAGGGGCCTTTTCCTTGGATTCTTCTACCTATTTAATGCGTTAATTCAGAACAGTCGAACCCAAAGCTCTCTGACATATGCACCCCACCTCTCACCTGATCAAGCCCACCAGAAGAGGTCACTGCCAGAAGTGAGATGCTGGAGTTCACGGAAAAGACTAGAAAGAAGCCTTGGTAGGGGGCTTCTCCCACAGCGAGTTAAGTTCTGCAATTAAAAAACAACCCCCACTAGAGCAATAGAGCAGTGCATCTTCACCTGACAACTTTCCATTGTGTCTAAAACTTGGGGTTCACAGTCAATTCAGAACACTGTCTGAAGGTCTTATTGTGGGAAGTTATGCTGTATTTACTAATACAAAACTCCTCTGGGCTGTGAGAAGACAACAGTTCATTGTACTTGCCCTGCTAATTCTCATGTAGATGCTAAAAATATTCCTAAGGCTGTTCTCTCTCCTGGAGGGGGTGAGTTTCGTCTGCCTGTGAAGAGCCAGGCAGGGAGGGAGGGAGGGGGGTTGCAGCAGGTGGTCTGGCGGGTAAATGCGCTGTGAGGCAGGTTCACAGAACAGGCTCCTTCCTCAGCTGTGGCATCAGACTCAGGTCACCTCAAAGCCTGTGGAAAGTCTAGTTTCCAGGGGACAAGACCAAGGCACTGCTGATGCTCTCCACGGGCGTGACCGTCTTTCCCATCTCCCCACCTGTCCTCACCACTGCAGAGTCAGTCAGATGCGGAGCAGAGAGGCAAAACCTCTTCACCAACAGGTTCGCAAACGGCCTGAGTGTTCCTTCCCATTTCAGAACATCCATCTGAGGCCGGAGTGAATAAAGAAAGAGGAGACATGCACAGGCTCAGAGCTTTAAACTAAGTATATAGTTTAATTTCTACAAGGTCCCCCTTCCAAGTTGTAGGGAAATTTGATTGGAGTGTATACAAATTAGACATTGACAATATGTACAAAAGGATTTTCTACAGTTCTGAACTCTATCAGCAGTCATATTTCATTTGCAAAGTAAACAGGATGTTACAAAAACAGCCCAATAATGCGTTTTCTACTAAGTAGCACAATACACAACATAATTCCATTTTATTAAAAATAACATGAAAATACAGAACAATCCACTTAAGGAAAAGCTATTTCTGCAGTTCACTTTAGTGAACACTAGCTGAATGCTGCAGCGGAGGGCTGTCATTTTCCATTGAGAAAAAAACCCAAGGTGGTTTTTAGGGCCCACCTTTCCAGGTTAAAATGACCCCCACGGCTGAGAAGGGTCAAGTTACTGCCTGAGGTAGGCAGCATGCTGACAGGTAACCCCGCCCCCGGCGCAGGTCCACACCTGAATCTTCGCTGTCTGTGAACTTAAGGGAGCTGCCCCTGTGACTTACATCCTGTAGATGGCACACAGCTGATCGTGAAATAAGGATTATTTGGATGGCTTGGATCTGATCACATGAAATCTTAGAAGCAGGAAAAATTCAAAGTGTGAAAAACAGATCCTTCAAGCCACTGACGGTGTGAGGGGATCATGCAAGCAGGAATGAGGGTGACTGATACGAAGGACCTGAGAGAGACAGGCTCCCAGCTGTCAGCCAAAACAGGAGGGAACCTCAGTCCGATGGCCTCAAGGACCCTAATCCTGCCAACACCTGAATGGACTGAACACAGATTCCTCTCCAGAGCCTCCAGGAGAGAGAGACGCCCTCTCGGCTCCAGGTTTCAGCCTTGAGACCCTGAGCAGAGACACCAGCTGCAGCGGGGGGACTTGGGACTCCCAGCCCTGTCAACTAAAACATGGGAGGTTCTTTGCAGCTGCTGAATTTCAGATAATTTGTTACACAGCAGTAGCTAATACACTGCCCATAGGTAACTTCCTTAACTTACTTAGATTTGGCAGTTTCTGAATGCATTTTTCCCTCACTGAGTTAAAGCAATATTCTCCTTTGCAGGCCATTTCTGTAAACCCTTAAAATGAATCACATACTGTTTTTCCATTTGGCTACAAGTTGTAACTTACTTGAGTCCTGATTCCTAATGTACTTTTTCCTATCAATCAGACAAACTGACCACCTAGTCCTGTCCATGGAACTTCTCCTGGAGGACGGTTTCAGTCCACCCAAAGTCCATCCAACAAGGCTGTCGAGCACCTCCAGCTGTTTTCCGAAGACACCAGGCAGGGCCCGAGGGAGGATGGCACAGATTGTTACCTCCATCATTGGATAGGGATTTCTTCCGCATAACTGGATTAAACTGGCACTAAGGTGATTAAGTACACTTGAGGGGGAGAGGGAAATCAAACAAGATTTTTTTTAAAACTATAGTCAGTCTTTATAACTCAACCACCAAACTATGAAGATGTGAAATTTATGCAGTATCCTGCATGCCGTCCCCTGCCTTGGTGTCCTGGGTTCCCTCATGGCACGCCGAGCTGCAAAGAGCCAGCCTGGGTCACAGGCGGAAGGAAGCAGGACACACTGCTGCTTACAACAGTTCAACTGTTCTCGTGTTCCACCCCTTGAAATGTTTCAAAGCCTTATAAAGGCCTTAAACAATACCCACGGGATGGTGGTAGTCAGATCTCAAAACCCCTTTAAGTCCCATCTTCAAGTCACTCTTTGAGAGGCACCCTCCTCGGTCAGTACACCTGTGGGCGGCTCCACAGCCCACTCTGCCAATCCTGCCTGCTGCAGGGCACGCCTGGCATCTGTGCCTGCCAGCAGTTCTCCAGACAGTCAAGTGAAGACCATGCAGAAGGAACCGTTTTCAGTACTGGTGTGTTTAAAAGAAAAACCTGATCTCACTTTCCTCTCTTACAGAATTCTAATGTAAAACAGAGAAAAACAATGCTTACAGAGGCACCAAAAGGTACCCAGCACCAAAGCAGGAACCGAAGATTCTTTTTTTTAAAAAAAAAAATCTCAAACTTCTGATAGAATTTATTTAAAAAGCACAAATAAAGTATTAAGTCTTTTGAAACAGTGCAGGTTACCTAGAGTTAAGGCTGATCTGGTCTTCATCATGCCCTCCAACCTGACGTCATACCAATGGTGGTTTCCAGGACAACCTCCTTCCAGACTCTGAGAAAGCCAGAGAGTCAGGAAGGAGTGAAGAATCCCAAGACCACAGCCTTATGCTCCTGGCTACCACCAGTATCGATTCTGGGCGGCGTGTTTTCAAGAGCACATCCGCACAAAGCGAGTATAGAAATACCTGGCCACCTTTAAAAGTTCTCCTTCACAGTTCTTTGCTTGGCAGCATATATGCTAAAACCTGAAAAAACCAGGGGAAAGAATCTGTTTTTCTAAGGAATAGGAAAGATGGAAAGAAAACAGTCTATCTAAAATAATATTGTAAATTACACTTAGAGAAATTTCATGATTTCTTGATTCAAGAAAATGAAATTTGTTTCCATAGCTGGTTACTGTAAAATGTGGCATAAAAATATTTCTGGGAGACATATCTGTACATTTTAAATACTTCTGTATACATGTAAAGGAATGAAGTATCAAGAAATGTCAACCCTTGAAATGTATTTCTAATATTGAAATAGAACAACAAACTGCCATCAGGTTTTTTTTTAAACTTTTACATCACCAGTTATTTACAAAGATAGAATTAGAATTAGAAAAGAGCATTTTCAACTGTATCTGCTGCTTTCACTGGGGCTCCTGTGATGAGAGTAACTCCGATCACTTTCACTGTCAGAACCGTAAGATCTACAACAAAACAAACACACAAAATCCTTTTATATATCAGCTGGCTGAATTCCTCTGTTGACAGGAGTGGCGAGAAGATGTTCATCACGTGGCCTAACACAGCGAGGGACAAAATAGAGAGCTGACTGTGGTAACACGGGGACTTCCCAAAGATGTTTTCAATGACTTTAGTAGTCCTAGCAAGGTCCTAGCAAGGTTATGATACAACAGCTTGAGAAATTACTTGGAATCCATTCACATACATGGGCAAACACTCAGTGTTACCAAAAATGACATCTGTGTTTAGATAGACTGTCTGAGGGAGGAAGGAAGAGAGAAAAGGTGTAGAGTTTGTTACTGATCAGGAAACCAAGTAGGGGACAGGGCCTGAACATGGACAGGACCACTGGGACAATGAAAATAAGAAAGCTGGGGTATGGTCACCATTCAGGTGCTTGGCGGAAATACATGATCTTAACCAAAAAGCTGAGAAGTGATCCTATTCAGTTACTCTAAAGAGTATTTGCTGAGGATCAATCACCTTGCTAGGGCTGTGGACAAAACATGGTTCCCTGGGATGTAAGGGTTAGTAGAGGACAGAGAAAAAGACAAAACAGGTCAGGGTCACAGAAAGCCTGGAAGGAACAAAGGCTGCCTCAAAAGCACACCCCAGGGCTACACCCCTGTGCCCCAGGGTCACCAGTCAGGGAAGCTTCTAGGCAATGGTGGGTTACTATGGAGACCCACAAGGTAGGTGGGAAGTGGTTAATTCAAAGGAAGGATGAAAGCTGACATGTGTATCTCCAGGCAGAAGGTTCCAGCACACCAAAGAAGAGTGGCCAGAATGAGCTCTAGCTGGACTTGGCTAAGGGGAGGGTCCCAAACACAATGCTAAGGCCCTGGGCAAGTCCTTGAAGAAAGTGATGTAAGACAATGTCCAAAGCAGGATGACATTTCACAAGGATCACTGTAGCTGCAATGGATGGATGAAGAGGAGATGAGGTGCACCAGGAATGACATTACAGAAAGTCACAAACACAAACATTTACAGCACTAGCGTCAAACACCATTAAACAGACTAAAAAGTAAATCCCAATGCTGTTTCTGAGGCCAATACTGTATATATTACTTTTTAAAGGTAAAAGATGGACAAACTGGGTTTACGTCCAACAACTACGCCCATTTAAGAAGTGGGCCACATAGTTTGGTGGCCTCCTCCTTTCAACTTCTTGCATGAGGGATGCACAAGTAAAGATACATTTGAGATTCAAACATTAACAATAACCAGCAAACATTACCTGGGAACTCTTAGTACAAAGGCCACTTTTACTGAGTTGCTGAAATCCACACAGAGGAAAGTATTGCTCCTAGAGGGCTATGATTTCCTTCCAGTGCAGCCTGCCAGCTTCCCAGCCAAAGGCCTACCGGCACCTGCAGGAATCTAACGATGACACCCACCTGGAGCGCCTGTTGTAACTTCTGCCCCGGTGGTAGCTGTCGCTTCTCGGGCTCCTACTTCGACTCGGACTTCTGCTGTAGTAGCTGTCGTAGGTGTAGGACCTGCTTTAACAGCAACAATAAACATGAAATGCTCCCACTCAGATACTTTGACACACCCATTTCTTTCTGAGATCTTGACAACGGTTCCAGTTTGGAATGTGGTCAACTGCATGGCATTGTGAGGACATATTCTGCATCAGGACTAAAAACATCTCTCAGTCATCCCACATCTATCTAACATCTATCACTCATCCCACGTTCAAAGGGTAAATGTTAATGCTGTTTCTATGATGAAAAATATCACAAAACTAGCACTGAGTTATTCTGACTGAGGCTGGTGGATTATTAAGCAATTATTCAACTATTATCTGCCATATACTTTGATTCGGAGTGTCACTTCTGATACTTGAACACAATGGGCCAATGAGTAAAAATGATTAAAAAGACCTCATTTATGAAAAAAAAATATGATTTCAAGAGACACATGGATTAGTTCAAGTTCTTTAAGGAAATGTAACTCTCCCACAACCAGGACAGAATAAAACAGATGAATGGGATCTTCTACTAAGAGTCAAATTCTTGTACACATCAGAAAACTTCTCCAACAGGGTAAAAGGAAAGCTGCATGCTGGGAAAAAACATTTAGCACTCACATGTCTGATAAGGGACTTGTAACTAAAATTTATAGACTACTCCAGCACCTCAACAAGAAAAAGGTAAACCACCCAGTCACAAAATGGGCACAAGGTATGAACAGACACTTCACCAAAGAAGACATTCAGATGGTAAACACATGAACAAATGGTAAAAATGCCCAGCTACTAGAGAGATGCAAATAAAAACAACCATTAGACACCATCTCACCCCAGTAACAACAGGGCAGCTAACAACAAATGCTGGTGAGGTTGTGGAGAGATTGGAACTCTTAATTCACTGCTGGTGGGTGCAGCCATTATGGAAAGTGGTCTGTCACTTTCTAAAAAAGGTGGATATAGAAATACCATTTGACCCAGCAATTCCACCACTGGGAATATACCCTAAAGAATAAAGAAACCAGAGCCGTGATTCAAACAGATGTAGGCACACCCATGTTTACAGCTGCGTTATTCACAATAGCAAAGAGATGGAAGCAGCTCAAGTGCCCACTATCAAATGAATGGATAGAAAAACTACTGTACACTCACACAATGGAACAGTATGCAGCACTGAGCAACAGTGAACTCTAACATATTACACAACATGGGTGAGTCTGGAGGACATTATGCTGAGTGAAGTATCTCAGTCACTAAAGGACAAATACTGTATAACACCATTGTTGTAAAATAGGATGGGAGTGGGGATTTAGAGAGCGAATGGGAAAAGAGTGGATAGATAATGAACACTGCTGTAGAGCACATGAAGGGAAGAACTGTCAGAAAAAAAAACCCAGAAAACATGATTAGGCATTATATATGTATGCCAACAATCTGGAACAAGGGATGCACTGCGGTGTAGGCTGAGGGAAGAGGGAAAAGAAAATGTTCAACAAAGAAAAAACAATTATATATAAAGAAAGAAAATGCAACACTTAACGGTTTCTAAAACAAGCCTTTCAGGCCTGCCCCAGTGGTGGCTGCCCTGCCCTGTGCGTACCTGGACCGACTGTGGGGGTCATACGAGCTGCTCCTGGATCTGCTCCTGCTGGACGTCCTAGGAGTAATCATGCAGAAGAATGTCACCGTGTGCATGATGGCAGCACGGGCCGAGCCAAGTCTAGACAGGTATTTGCCCATCAGAGTAAAATCTCAGTGAAATCCACTATGTACACCGATTTTGTGTTCATGTCAAAAACATACTGGCTTTCCCCCATTGGGCTTCCTAAGAAAGATTGTAAATTCTGTATGATTCTTCCAGAGGGTACACAGAAAGCCCCTGGGAGGCTCTGCGCTGGGTGGGAGGGGAAGGCTGGACGTGGAGGGCATGCAAGCAAACTGAGGCTGTGAAGTGAAGACCTCGAGGCCAGAGATGACCAGAGGCCCGTGCTGCCCACGCCCACCCCCCACCTCTTCCTTTCCTGGCCCCATGCTCTCAAGTCAAGAGGGTCCGGCAGAGGTGAGCTGAGGTTGAGGAGGACAGACTGGAGGGGAGGCAGAGGCAGGCCAGCTTTAAACGTTTCTAGGGCTTCTCTTGCTCACACTGGTTAAGAGCTCATCCTGGAAACAGCTAGGAGAAGTTGGTGGCTCTTTGAAATAACGAATGCGGTGAGAAAAATGGGTCAGCGGGGCCAGAGCAGCGGGAGAACGCTCCCTGACAGCCACTCCTCGCAGGCTCACCTGTGGCTTTTGTAACTGCGGTAGGAACTGCTCCGGCTCCTTGTTCGTCCCCTGCTGTACCAGCCTCTACTCCGACTCCTTGAGTAGCTTCTCGATCTACATTAAAACAGTGAGGGGAGGTGGATGGCACTAGAGCACCACAGCAAATTAACTCCTGAGAGGGCAGGAAGCAGGAAATGGCACAAGATGCAAAACCTTTGCAAGAGTCCTCATGAACATGTGACGAGGCAGGTCCCAAAACAAGTCAGGTTTCAATGAACAGACAGTAAGAAAGGGGGACCAGGAGGGGCTGTTACGGGGGTATTCACAGGAGCACAGAAAGAAAAACAGCAGGGCAAGAATCTTACTGAAGGTAAAGTTTAAATAAAGAAAATCAAGCTCAGTATAATCAGGTTTATGAGTCAACAGGAGATTGAAGTAAAATCATGAACTGTTTCTAAGGAAACGATTAACTTCATGTTACTAGCAACAATTTTCCCGTTTTTAATTCTCATTCTCTGCACTAAGCTGATGATAAATGTTAGGGCCAAAAGAACCATGTCCTCCCCACTTGTGTCACAGTATCCCTGGTGGACAGAGGCCAGCTAGGCGTGTGCCGCTGGAGGGTAAGCCTGCTGCTCTGGGCTCACAGAGCTTCCAAGTCTGCAGCTTGGAAGAATGAGCTCCAAGTCCCCTCTCCTGCTGCTCATTTCTAATGCGTCACCGGCAGGCGACAGACAGCACAGCCTCATACCTCCCCCGGGAGTTCGTTTCTACCACCCAACAGCCAGAGACCTGTCACCCTGGGCCCACACTCCTGCCTCCCAAATCCCCCGTCCTCGACTCTCTGGGCTTCAGAACAAGCCCTGTTAGTCCCTCTCAGGTATCTGGAAGCAGTGACCATGTGCCCTCCTCCGATCTTCCGCAATAACAGACAGTAACAGACCTTCCTTGGGAGAAGAAAATGAAAAACACTACTTACCGGTACGATGATGTGGAACTCCGCGAGCGACTTCTTGAGTGGCTGTATGAGACAGACCTCGTTCTGTGTCTTGATTTGGTTTCAGATTTACTTCGAGATCTGCTCGGACTCCGGGAATGGCTGTCACCATCCCGACTGGGTGTCTGCTCGTCACTGGAGCTGTCTCGGTTTCGTGGCCTCTGGTTTAAGCGTGCCGTCTTCCTCACCTCGTCAAAGAGCGAGCCAGGCCGCACTTTATTTTTGCTCTTGATTTCTATCCTCAGGCCCTGCGGTTTCATCTCAGACACAGTGGTCAAAGCCTTCACTTCCAGAGTGCCGGCGGCGGCAGTGGCGGCCAGGTGCCCCACGCCCTGCAGGGGCTTCCACTTGCTGTCCCCGAGGCCGGCCTGGCTCTTCACCGCCACCTCCGGCCTCACAGAGCTCTCAGCAGTGCCGCTGTCCTGTGTCCCCATGTCACTGCCGGTGTGGTTTTCACGTATTCCGCTTTCCTGTTCTCCCGTCTCGGCCTCGGGATTCTCCGTCTTCACATCCTGCTTCTGAACAATGCTGACATCGGGGGCCTCGCACGTGGCATCTTCTAGAGGGGACGCCTCCTCTGTTTTCACGGGAGAGCTCCTGTCAGGAGTGCAAATCTCCATGTTATCGTCCGTCTGGAGCACATCGTCCACGCTGCTGGGGACCCTCTCTTCGACGTGCTGCACGTCTCGGGGAGAACTGGCTGTCCTCTCCTCAGTGTTCAGGACTTGGGGAGAGACAATGGGTTTCCGATCGTCCTCGGGTCGCTGCTCGAGCTCTGACGAGCCGCTGCCTGTGCGCCGTCGGGCGGCGCTGCCATGGTCACAGGCCCTGCTGTGCGGTCGTCTGGGCTCCTTCACGGTGTCACCGTGCGCACAAGCGTGCTTCTTCTCCTTTGGCTCCTGAGAGGTTTGCTTTTCGCTCACCTCCTCCTCCTCCTCCTCCCCGAACTCGAGCGGTGGCTGCCAGTGAAAGGCCTGCCTTCGCTTCGGGGCCTTGTGCTTTTTGTCTTTTTTCCCTTTCACCTTCTCCTTTGCTTTCTTGGGGTGTTCCCGCTTCAGGCCTTCCTTCGGCCCGTGCCTGGGCTTCCACGGCTTGGCCCTCGTGTTCTCAGAATTGGAGCAGGAACCCCCGGAGTCAGAAGTCGAGGACTGCTGTTTGCGGGCCTTCCAGACCCCGCTGCCATCAGGCAGTGAAGCATCTGCTGAAGACTTGGCTGTAGATTCCTCTCGGATGTGGATTTCCCCAGGCTCCGATTCCGAATCCAACGTGGCCTCACCTTCCTCCTTATCCGAAGATGGCCGGATCACCTTTGCACTGTTTTTAGTCACATCTCGTTCTGAATTTGATTCAGAGTCCCATTTGCTCCCGGCGTAATTCTTCTTTTTAGGCTTGATGCCATTTCTGAAGTGTTCAGAAGCCTGCTCTTTCGGAGTTCTTTGTTTTGGATGAGGGCATTCCCGTTCAGGCTTGGCTTTCTCCCCTGTCCTCCGGTCCTGTCTGACAGCAGTGACTTCCATCTGGGCCGGCTTCTCCTTCCCCTGCGCTGGCTGGACGACGTCAACACCTGACCGGCCGCTGTCCGAAGAATCACCTGACGACGACCTGCTTTCACTACGGCGTCTCTGGCACGAAGGCTTCTCTCTGCCTTTGATGTGTTTACTGCCCAGCGCCTTTTCAGACACACTGCTGTGCCTTTTATTTGAAGCCTTACTTTTCTTCCCACTGGATCTAAACTTCCTCTTGGATCGTCTCCTCTCATCACTGCTGGCAGAAGAGTATGAAGAGGATCTACTGTCCTGTGAGTTATCACTGTATTTATTTCGTGAATGAGACCTAGATGATGGCGTCCGAGACCTTGAACGTGAACTAGCTGGGCTACGGGACCGCGTGTATGATCTGGAATAAGATCGACTCCGAGAAGACCTGCTTCTGGACCTCGGTGAACTTTCTGAACTTCTGTCACTGTACTTTGTATACGCACTCCGATCGCTTTCTGAATGTTTATCTCTTTTACGGTAGGAGGATGAACTACCAGTCTCTTTGGCACTTGCTAAGCTGTACGTGCTCTGGGTGGGCAGCAAATGGGTTGTTTTCGCTTTCATTTCCTGAATTCGCTCATAGGAGGGCTTCCAAGGTTTCTGTCCAGGCTTCCACCGCGAAGGAGGGGGACTGTCACTCAGAGGAATGACAGGAAGGTTTTCTGTCACCACCGGCTGCACCACGATGGTTTCATTTTGTGGCACTGCTACTCTCAAGGGTTCTGTTTTAGCTGGCTTGCTTTCACTTATCTGGGCGGCTGCTCTAGGAGATTTGGACGCTGGCCTTTGGTGCCCTGACTTTGAACTAGATCTGGACTTGGATCGACTTCGGGAATGCGATGAAGATCTCAAGATCTCGACGGAGTCCTTGATCTCGAGCTGCCTCGAGAATAAGACCTCGAACGAGATTTAGACTTCGACCTGAAGGAGCCTCTGCTGGAACGGCTCGAGGAGCTCTGATCATCTTTATCAGATTTCGACCAGTCCCTTTTTGACGAGTGACGAGATGACAATGAGGAAGAACGAGATCTTCTTTCTCTACCAGGAGGAAATTTCAGTCGTTGGGTGGATGATTTTAAGGATTCTACGTCAGATGGCACCAGAATTCTTCTCTTTTTCGTCTGTTTGTGTCTTCTGCAATGTTTCTGCTTTTTAGCTTTCTTTTTATGCTTAACCTTCTTGTCTTTTCTGTGTTTTTTATGGTGCCCATCGGAGTGTCGTGCTGTGCTCTGGTCTGAATGATAGCCATTATAGGACCATGATCTGGATCTCTGGGACAAGCTTCGTTCATCCCAACGGCTTGAACAGGGGTCACTTAACCTACAGAAAAGACAGAACATGTATACAATTACTCACAAGCATCTTAAAGATATGTGCTGTCAATGAAAAAAGTACCCACGAAGGTTTGCTAATAAAAAATACTGACAACTAACACTGTAAGCTCATGTATAAAGGATGAAATCAAAACAGCCTGATCATTTCACAGACACAGACCACAAAGTACTAACAGAGTAACTTAAGAGTTTTTCCAAAGCTTAGTGAAGAGATTCAAATATGGCAGAGAAACGTTTTTAAACCACAACAACTAAACACAAAAGCAAGAAGCATGCACACGCACTGCTGGCTGTGATGTGCTCATGTGCTTCTGCCTCCTGGAGCTGCCAGGAAAAGCCTTCCTCATTATGGAGGAAGAGTCAAACCAAGCTTCCAAACAACGCTACTGATTCTCTGAAGATGCAGGACAGTTACCTGCAAGCCTCTTCTTCTTAAGAGCCTAGCATGGCGATTATTTTATCTCGGCCTCACAAAGGTAACCAGGCCTTTCCCTCCAGGTTTCAGTTAAACTGCTCACTACAGAAACCGAGGAGAAAGGACATAAAAACAAAAGGAGGCTTTGCAATCTCCACACTGAGGCAAGGGCTTGCTTGAGAGTCCTCAGCGTCACTACGTCTAAGCCTGCATTTTCATGCAGAAGATCGATGCCTCTTCCAATCTGAAACCATTTTGCAAAACGCTAAAATGATAAAGATAATTCTACCATGAAGAATTATCCAAAGCCTCAAAGGAACAATGTGGGGTGGGCAGTAGGGGTGAAGAAAACGTGCAATACTAAATTAGGAAAAAAAAATAAAACAAAGTCTATTAATAATAATAAAAAATCACCCAGTGTACCTCAATGGTACATATAGGTAGCTGTACATGAGCTGGCCCGTTTCTAACACAGACACTGCACTGGGGGGTGCCTGAGAGTACGAGGCAGCTGTGTTTCTGAGGAAGCACAAATCCCTGGAGTCAGAAATCAAGGCACACTCTGGGACAACAGCTTTTCCTAGCTAGCTTTAGTGACTAAGAGATGTAGCTGTTAAAGAGTCTCCTGCATGATTTTTAAGTTCTAGTCATTTTTAAAATTGAAGACGAAACCTTTAGGAGATTCACTAGGTTGGCATGTAGTTCTGTGAGGGAGAACAAAATTTTGGTTTTTGATCTCCAAAATCTTTCCAAAGCCAAGTTCACTCTTCTCAATGAATAGTACTATCTTTACCAAAAATTAAAAAATGTGTTTCTCCCAGTTCCAGTCTAACTGTCCACCTTCTTCAAGGAAACGTCTAGAATTGTGTCTCTCCCCTCAACGCTGAAAATGTAGCAGATCCAGGACTGTGTTGCTCAGAGCCCTTACTTGTCTCCTTTACTCCATTTCTCGCCACTTGGGGGTCTGTACGCTCTCAGCCTCTGCATTTCCTCTTTCCAGTGAGGCGGTGTTTCACTGCTGTCATCCCCGTCATCCGATTCCGAACAGGATCTTGACTGAGGAGGGGTGTGATAACGCTTTAAAAACAAAGATGGGAATCATTACTTGAAAGATGCTTCCCTACTTAAGAGTCTGCTATACAACAGAGTTAGGTAGAAAACCCGACTTCAGACCCCATTAAAAGCACTCAGTGAAATATGAAAAGGATGATATGACAATCTTTCAAACATAAGGGATGAAAAGCAGGTGGGAAAGGCTGGGACTCACCTGTAGTCCCACATGAAATCTTCTCTTCAAAGTCCTAACGGTTATATTCATTCGCCTAGATCATTCAACATACTACGATTCCTTAGCATATTGATTGTTTTATAAGTTAATTTTATATCTAATCACACCCACGCAAAATCAGTGGCAAACAATAACAGTATCTTCCCTTAACCTTAGAAATTCTAAGTAGCTCCTAGAACTGAGTTTAGATTATATCTAAACATAGAGATTTTGAGATTATATCTAAACATAGAGATTTTGCTTTGAGGAAAAATACGTCATACTACTTAGACAAATATTTTGAAAACAGAAGTCTTAACACACATACAATTGTGCCCCTTCCTTTAATCTTCCGTCCGGACTTTGACACAGATGGTTTCTGATCACTTACAATGGGTGTAACTTCAGGAATTTTCCTAGAAAAGAAGATAGTGATGAAAAGTGAAATAAGTACGAGTTAGGAATCTCCCCTCCCCAAATTTAAGCACCATTTGCATCCATGTATAAGCACTGCACTTATCCAACACTCTTGGACAGTGACAGCTCTAGGTAACCCAATTTCCTAACCAAACCCTTTAAATGTCAAAACAGAATGAACTGAAGAAAAGTAACTCAATTGAGTAAATATGCAAAATACGACTCTCTTTTTCGATGGCTCTTTTACAGAAGGTTAAATTCTCCACTCTTCATGATCAGAATATTCCTTTCATCCTGAGGTTAGATGAGCGGGCAAAACTCCAACAGCAAATTGGTGTTGAAATTCCTCTTGAGCTTGTCACACTCCTCAGAGGAGACTGGCGAGCTCCTCTGGATGGAGAAGTCTGACTGTCCACACTTAGCAAAAGGGGTTTGGGGGAAAAACTGGGGTGCCAGCACCCAACTACATATTCCCACGCCTCAGCTCATCCCTATGTTTCTGGGCTGAAAACCAGGATAGTCTAAAGGAATGCTGAAGGATTTCCAACTCTAATGACCAGATGGAATACTGAAGGATTTCCAACTTTAGTGACCAGGTATTTGTTACAGTTTGTCTCCTGAGTGAAGCAGAGATTGTGAGGACGGCAGAGGACAAGCCAGGGTTCTGGCTGTTGTTCACAGGGTCGCGATGAGATGTACCCTACTAGACAGCACCTCACAACAGCTCCCTAACTCTAAATTTTCATTCTTCTCTCCTTCAGTGTTTGTCTGGGAGTAGAGTTTTGTTTTGTGATAAACCTTCTAATCATGAGAGATCCTTTCTTTCATTCTTTAGCTTGCAATGGCCACTATTAAGATTGTGGCTTTTACTGAGCACTTACTAAGTGTCAAACATTGTTAATACGTATTTAAAAGACATTCCCTTATTTAATCCTCAAGTAACAATACAAAAGAGATATTATTAGATCTCCATTTTAAAATATAAGGAATTTTAAGATTAATGAGTTAAAACTATTGACTAAAGCTACAGAAAGAAATGAAATTTGACTCTCACATCTATCCCCTATGCTCTAGGAAGGAGGAACTTGGCCTTCAGTTTATAGTGTTACAATGTGAAAATGATGACCCTGACCTCTAGGGCTGCTGTTGCAGTCTCTCCACAGCCACGGCATCATCTGATTCTCACAACCAAGTTAAGTAGGCACCCTGCTAGGCTGCAGTTTGCTCCATTGATGAACAAAACAGCGCCCCGGTCTCCTTACCACACTGACTGAGCACTGCTACCCGTTCTCCTTCTAGTCACAATATTCTGACTTCATCTGAGCTGTGGTTAATTGCTATTTTTAAGAGCTCGCCAAATTATTCTAAAGGCGCAGCCAAGGATGCGGAGAAATGAATGAGACAGAGTAGAACATCGTTTCTGCTAAGGAAAGGAATTCTATGAGAACAGGTACGTTACTGCAGGCTACCGAGCCGACTCCAGTGCACCATGAACCCACAGGGCACAGCAGAACTGCCACAGCGGATCTGCTGAGCTGGAATCGTCCTCAAAGCAGACTGCCAGGCAATTTCCCCACAAAGCCACGCTGGCGGGTTCAAAGGACCAGCCTTTTCGTTAACAGCTGGGAGCGCAGTCACGGGGGTCACCAAGGCTCCTCGAGAGTAAGTACAAGAGCTGGTGAGACGGGAAAGTTAACCTTCCCTGAGGAGGCTGAGTTACTGAAGTGCACAGAAGCTTGGTCTCCAACAAGTGGTCAAAAATCTCAAGGCTTCTAATTCTTGACAAATATGATGGGAAGCTCAGGTGTGGGGAGTTTACGTTAATGGGAGAGAACAATTCAGCAAAGCAGAGCGAGAAGAATGCTTAACCTGAAGAATATAATCAACGTCACTGAGTTACATATGCAACAAACTGTTAAACTGCCAGATATTCTGCTGTGCATATTTTCAACAACACAATTCTTTAAAAGGCAGTTAATACACTTGAGAACAGGATGAAATGGAATTTTTTTACCAGGTGGAGATCAGTTAAGTTCATCTGGATGTTTGCTGGATCAAAGCCAAACTACTACGCCCAATTATTAAGAAAAACAGGACACAAGAATGAATTAGTGGAGCTGGACAATTTGTCACAAATTAAACCGTGTTTTCCCTCAACAGATGTAAACCTGGATGGGCCATGATTCTTGGGAGCTGGGTGGTGATGTAATAATGAGATCACATCCTCCTCCACAAGTGACGTGATCTGGTGTGCTTTACTTTGCATGTTATGACAACTGCAGTGCTGTGAGGTGGAGGCCACTCCACAGCCCCGCCATGAATGAACCTGAGCAACTTTTCACAGAGATGATGCCATGTGCGGCTCTTCTGTCAGGTGCCACTTCATAGTCTCTGCCCCTTTTCACAGGGCTGATTCGCTCATGACAGGTAAGAACGTTCTATACACTGGGAATACTTACACTGCAGATTATTTCAGACATGTTGTCATTTGATCTTGTTTATAAAAACTTTTAGCACAAACTTTTCATGTATTTTCATGTTCTCTGTGTGCTCTTTCTTTTTGCTAAGTAATAATTTTACTCTTTTGACTCCATGGTATCTGAGAGTATTGTGTGGCTAACATGAATGGGATTTCTGCCACTTGCCAACCTTCCTCATTTCAACCAGACAGAGCTGACAAAGAAAAGCTATTGATCCGTATCTACAGATTTTATTTCTAGACATTTTTCTAAATCATTTCCCATTTTTAAGACTACTGTTATTTTTAGGGTGCTCTGGGCAGGTAGGGAGGTTTTTGTGCTTTCTACCCAAAGGGCAGCAGTTTGAATCCACCAGCTGCTCCTTCCGATCCGTTTAAAACCTCTTATGACCTGCTAGAGGGTCAGCAATCAATCTGTTCTCACTCAACAGCTATGCCTTGGATTGTATTTTCAGACAAGGATCATTTTATCCCCTTCCAACACTTGCTGTATTTCATTTTCCTTTTATAGTACAATTAGCTACGGCTCCTGTCAAAGACTAGAACGCGAGCTCCGCTGGGTCCCTACCACTGGGTGCCAGGACACTCTCTGTGTGACAGCATCACATTTTCTCTACACAGCAGCAGCTGTGGGAATCAAAAGCCTTCTCAGATAATACTGGCAAACTATTTCTTTCCCAACTACATCCTAAGCTCCACAAAGTTAGTGAAAATGTCCCTTATTTTTGGTTCACTACAGAACCTAGCAGAGTACTAAGCACATAAAAATAAACACTGAAATGTAAAAAAAAAGACTTCCCATTTCCTACCTTCAAGAAATAGATTTGATCAGTAAACTAGAAATCATCTCTTTCAGAGACAACAATTCCTCATTAAACCTTATTCCTAACCAGATTATAATAATGTAATTATCGGAAAGGTATGCTATTAGTTCAAAGAAAATCTACCTTTTTTATTAGCAGTTTTTTTAAAAAATGAGCGTATCAGGTTCTCAAAACATTTCATCAACTCAAAAAGCAGAACTACCTCACAGGGTTCCCAAGGACACAAGTCTCCCTGGGAGCAGGCAGGCTCCTGTGTCCACTGTGGAGACGATGTGGCATCAGCCTTCTGACTGGCACTGAGCACTCTGCCCCTGCTCTACTTACGACCTCACCTCCTCCTTTCACTGCTGTTACTGCCGATTTTCACCTGAGTCAGAACCAACTCAAAGCTGAGTCCCCTCCATTAGGCTTTTCAAAAGCAATAAACTGCACAGGAGATTATCTACAGCCTCCAACAGATCTGAACCGTGTGCCTTTGAGTTAGCAGCACAGGTCCTTACCACTAGACCACCAGAACTCCCGTCTAATGACTGCTGTTGTTGTTATTTACTATCAAGTTGGAACCAACTCATAGCTGACCCTCCAACAAGTTTTCAGAGGCAATTTAATCACATGGGAGGAGAATGCTCATTTTTCTCCCGTGGAGCAGCTGGTGGATTTGAACCGTGTGCTTTTGAGGCCTGCAAGTGCAGCTCCTTACCTCTAGACCACCGGGGCTCCCTTTTTACTAGTGTTTTGTTTTGCACGGTCAAGTCACAATCGACCCACAGCTGACCCTGCAGGGGGTTTTCAGAGGCAGTTAACTGCACAGGAGGAGACTGTCCATCTTTGTCCTGTGGAGCGGCTGGTGGACTTGAACTGTGTGTCTTTGGGATTGCAGCACAGTCCACTAGCCAGCAGAGTTCCTTTTCACTCCTAAGAGAACAGACATTCCGAAAGGCAGGATTCCTGACGTTCACTCTGGTACCCCCTTCCTCTTACCCTTCGAAGCGCTCTGCACACGGAGTTGTACTCGGTGAATGAGGGTGCACAACCGCACTGAGGGAAGCACCTGAGAGGGTGAAAATGCACACAGTGCTCCGCGTACTCACGGTTCAGGTTCCACAGGGACAACAGGCATATCTCTTCTCAGCAAGAATCGGTTCTCAGGCACCGGAGGAATCTCTTCCGGGCGGACCACAGGCTTTTCCCTTTTAGCATTCGCGTCCGCCGACTTTTTTTCATTCGTATCACTCCTTTCAGAATGACTTAGCGAGAACAAACCAAAACACCAATGAGGATATGCAATGCTTCTATTTTATAATAAAGTTAGCGTATAAAATCAGGTAATGAAGTAACAGTAAATGTACTGACAGGTCACAAATCTCAGTGAATTTAGAATCCAATTTTCTCCAGGAAAACGTATGAAGCTTATTCTGATGAAAACTATCAGATAATCAAATGGTCCTAACAGTTTCAAGGATTATATATTTACCAGCAAACATACAAATCTTTAATATGAAATGTGCTATCCCTGGATTTGCTAAGTATCAATTCTTTACAACAAAAACCATCCCTTTTCAACAAAATAAAGTCTGTAGAGTGAGACGTACTTTCCCCAGCCCACAGCGGACCTTTCTGGGTTTGGTTTTGCACTCACCCCTTGGGGCTGGCTGGCTGCCTGGCCCGTGGCTCTTCAGACACGCTCGCTTCCTTCCTTCTCTTCTTGGCCTGCTTCACTTTGGGCCTCCGCCTGTGCTTCCTCCTCCTGCTTCTCTCACGTTCCACTTCACTTTCTGAAGAGGAGTCGGAAGAGGAAGAGGAACTGGAGGAGGAATCCGAGTCTTCTGAATGAGTTGGCTTCTTTCTTTTTTTCTCAAAAACTTTTTAGAAAGATTAACGAAACTATTAGTACTGAATATAAGTGCTTACTATTCAAGGATAAAAGGTATAATTAACAAATCATAAAACATTCTTTATTACTATAACAAATGAAAAACCCCATTTCTTTCAAGTTGACCATACAATCTGCTGGTATGGTTGTCCAGTATCAAAGCCCTTCACCTCATGAAGTCTACCTTCCAGTTGGAACAGACAATAAATCATCGCATAATATGACAAACAGTGTTAAGCCACAAAAGAAAATAAAACAGCGTAAAGGGAATAGGGAGAGTTGTGGAATGGAAATAAACGTGAGCCGAGATCTGAAGGGAGCAAAAAGGCAGTCATGGAGACATCTGAGTGGGGGGACCGACGGAACAGCCAGAACAAAGCTCTCCAGTTGTTGGCATGCTACGCAAAGACCAACATATCTGAAAAGCGATGAATGAGGGGAGGAGGTCAGAAAGACAGCAGAGGGCAGCGGGCTGTCCATCTAGAGTCTTACAGACTTCAGCTCTGGCTGACTGGGGAAAAACCGGAGGGTTCGGAAGAGAAATGACTCAATGCAAAGGATGTTTTAAAAGGGACCACTATGGTTAGTGTTAGAAACAGACTAGAGAGGGCCACACATGAGAAAAAGAGACCAGTTAGAAAGTAAATGTTGTTAAGAAGACTAGAGGACAGTAAGTATAGGGAGATGATGCATAACTAAGAGGCTATTATAGCAACAACCCAGTGTGATGGTTATGGCTGTGTGTCAACTTGGCTGAGCCATGATTCTCAGTGGCTTGACAGTCGTGATGTAACCATCACGGTGCTGCTGTGATCTGCCGTGATCAGCCAATCAGTTTGAAGGGGACTTTTCTCAAGGATGTGGCTCTCATCCACAGTGTGCATACGCGTGGATGTGCATCTCTGTGCAGACATTACGGCAAAGCTCACTGGAGTTCTCTGGATGCTGCCTCTGGCTCACCGTCATCTGACTCAAGGCTCAGGATTTGTGGAGCCAGCAGCCTGCTCCCTGCCCTGCTCTTCATGGTCAGCCCTGCAGCTCTCCGGGTCAGGGGCAGCGGCAGCTTAATGCCTGACTCATGGACTTGGGACTTGCCAGTTTCTACAATCATCTGAGGCATTTCCCTGAGATAAATTCTCCCATATATAAGCACTTGCTGTTGTTTGGTGTTTCTTTTTAATTGATTTCCTTTCCCCCCCTCATTCATGGACATTGTGTTTTACACAATCTTTCATTTACACTGTTTCATATAATCATTCATATACAATGTATTTCAGTCAATTACTATTGCTCTATGTGTAATATTATCCTATCTTTCCAAGTCCCTATTGAATATTAGCTACTCCCTCACTCCCATCCATCTATCCACTGACCTCGGCCAGCCCAGTGATTTCTCTTCTTCCCCATTTTCTCCCCTCTTCCTCCCTCCCCGTTCTGCTTCTCTAGAGAACTCATACTAAGATACTTAGGTAAGAGATAATGCTAACTGCACTCAGGCTGGTAGCAGAGCAAGTTATGAAAACAAGTAAGATCTGACAAGATTTACTGGTGGATTTCATGAAGGATGTGATAGTGGCATCAAAGGCCATGACTAGATGAAGTGCTAGTGTGTGTTTTCCCACAACTGAAATCCAGGAGGCATCGAAAATGAGTCTTCCCACAGCGCAGTATTAGTAGCCTTGCCCCTTCCAGTCCCATAAAGCTCTTACCATCTTTTGTTGACTTGGTGGCAAGTACTCCACAGTCAATAACTCGCACATCTGCATAAGGCCGGCTTGCGGCATCCGTTTTCAGGTTTTCAATTTGCTCGATTACTTCAAAACCAGAAATAACTAGTCCAAAGACAACATGCACCCTGTGACAATAAAAAGGACGAATTCATTCCTTTGGTAATAATTAAGCTACGAGCAGTAAATCAACAAGAATGCTATAAAGGGCATGTTCACAGACCTGAAAACAGAACAATGTGTGCTGGTGTAGACTGTGTGCAGATGCAGGCCGTGTGCTGGTGTAGACCGTGTGCTGGTGTAGACTGTGTGCTGGGGCAGACCGTGTGCTGGGGTATAATGCAACTAAACAGCAAGTAAAACTTGGAATCTACTCTTTAAGAGGAAACAGCACTAGCCTCAGTTTTCTGCTTTTATAAGAGGTCTTAACATAGTGACAATTATGGTGGACTTGGGTGTATTTCAGATAGTCAGGATGGCCCAAGAGAGGGCAGGGTTCAGACTAACGTTCGGGGTGCAGGGGCTTGGGGGGCACGTTATTAGTTGTAATTGACTCAACACTTAACAGCAACAACCACCACCATTCTTGGGTAGAGAGACTGCATTTCATACTGATTAGTCACTGTGACTCTCAGAACACTCAGAATTGCATGGCTGAGAATGCCATGCACAGGCCCAGGTTAGAGACCCCCAACAGTGACATGAGAGGCCCGGAGCCTTCAGAGCACTTGGCTCTCGAGGCTACCACAGAGATGGAGATGGAGACCCCCCTCCATGGTCCTCCCCAGGGCCCACCCTAGTCAGGAAGAGGGTATCCTTACCCATCCAGGTGTGGCGCTGGTTTTGTGGTTCTGTGTGATAAACATCAACACAAAAGGAATGGCAAAACCCAGGTATCCAGGTGAAGAGAGTAGAAGGGTTTAAAACATGGAGAAAACAAAGAAGTAAAGATAAAAATGGGGTAAGTTAAACAAGATATAAAAACCTCAGAAACCACAATAGTAATCATTTACTGGAAAAATCTCAAAATGATAATAAATTTTAAAATCATATCTATTTCTCTCCAATGTCATGAAAATATAAATGTGCTTGTGTATATTAATGTATGTAATAGGCTTGATGGAACTTATTAAAAGAATACTATAAAGAACATAAAATGAATGTACTGATAGTCCTAGTAGTCCTAGTTCTAAAAATTACCAACAAAATACACCCCAAAGAAAAACCTCAAACTTTACCGGGCTAAAGAATAAGAATGAAAAGCACTATTATTTGCACTTTAGACAAAAGTGTGGTCCCATTTGCTCCACACATGTGAGTAAGGTCTGCCTGCCATTCTGGTACTGAGTCAGCCTGTGCCTTGGGGGGGCAGGCAGAAGGCTGTCCAGGTCTCAGTACTGTTCACAGGACTTCCTGACCCTTCTCCTTCACTCAGAGTAAAGCTGCCACTCAGGGCAACTCTGAAAATGCAGTGGAGGTGGGGGGAGCCCTTTCAATATGAAGCATTTCTGACAGCAAAGTGAAGCCATGGTGGATAATATCATAGACACTGTAAATTCTGGTGGTTCTAAAAACATCCAACTGGCTGCTTCTGCAGGCACAAGCCATCAGACAGTCACTGCGGGGTTAAGAGAGTCTAAATTCAAGCCTGTGCACTTACAAAGACCTGCACAATATTTGAATTGCAGTATAAAGAATTCAAAGCAGATAATTGGACTCAAAATTGTATACCACAGGCAGTTTCATGTAGAAGAATGAGAAATAGACATGAGCAAGTGCCTGAATATCAGGCCATTATCAAGGCAGTTATCAGAAGCTCCCACAGAAATGTTTATATTCATTTTAAGACAATTCTAAGACATGTTAAGTCAACAAGACACAATTTAAACATTCACAGCAATATTAAAAAATCATTATTCTGAAAAGAATTACAATGTTAATACTTACATTAAGAACATTCAGTTCTGAAAGAACACTACAGAATTCCATTTTAAAAAATAAAAATTCCAATTTTAGAAGTTCTAGGATTTATAAAGGTAATTTTGAGTTTTAAAACCCCAAGTCTTCAAATTTTCCTTTGAAGACTGGGAAACAAAAACTCAAGCCAATTCTAAAAATTAACTTTAAAAGGCAGTGTGAAGGAGAAAAAAGAAAAAGCCATTCTAGCAAACGAAACTACCAACGAGTAATTTAATTAGTATCCAGAAACTACATTGGACATAAAATAGAAATGTGCTTTTAGGTAGGAACGTGCTTTCTGTAATTATGAAACTTTACCAAAGCACATTAAAAAAAGCAAGAAATTAGTAGATCTACCAGACTGCATTTCTAGTCAATGTGAAGAGTGCTCTAAAGAAGGTCAAAGTCTTCTACATTGTGAGTGATCACTCTCAAATACGTTGCAGTGACAATAATGAATGGATCCCTGATTAGATATGATCCTTTTCCTTTCCCGATCATTTCTTTCACATATCTACTAGATCTCCTGATCCTGGGGGAAATCCTGCAGATCTTTCTAAAACACACAGAACCCAACACAATCCACATTCTGGCTAACAGCATAGAAACCATTTCATGGCAAACATCTGGACATTTCAAATCTTTGGAGTTCATGGAGAAACAATTCTAGCCAGTGCAATGATATAGCAACATTATACCTAAAATTCAATTTGAAAATGGATTAACTATCTTCATGATAGATTCATGTTTTGTTAGTTCAAATATAAATTAAAGCACAAACTTAGTCTTTTATTACAGAAGTGAGAAAAACAAATGAAGACAGGAGCAACTTTCTTTCAAGACAATTTTCAGCTGGAACTTTGTGCCTAAATTGGTACAAATCAAGAAACCCCTTGCATGCATCTGCAATTCAGGATGCAGAAATGCAAATTTGTATTTTAATTGGTTAGACTATATATTGAGCACAATGATATGGAATATATCTTAACAACAACAAAGTCTTTGGATTCTTGGGCTACTTTCCAAGAAGAGAAAATTCAATGTAAAGCAGGCTTTCCAGGCTGGCACTGGCTGACATAGAGGACATCAGCTAAATGGGGTTACAAAAGGACGGAGGGGGTGACATGCTCAGGGCAAGCTATTCCATTCTACTAAAAGGGGCAGAGATTTTAAACCATCAACTCTGAAATGTATTAAACTTTCAGAACTACTTGGTGTTTAGAAATCAGTGCAGTGTTCGGTAAGTTAAGAAAGCTAGAGACTACCATCGAGGTCCAGGTTTATACATGCTTATGAAATGATAATGGAGTAATAGCTACAAAGAACAGCTCACATTGTAAGAACCTTTCAGCATTTCCACACATCCATTTATTCTGTCATCTGAAACAAACAGTGGGTTTCCAGGGGGTTTGAGTGTGTTTTAAAAACAAATGGGCAAAGGGTCATCTATATCTTGTAAATTCTAGAATTGTTACAGAAAACCAAAAACAAACCTAAAAGCTAAATTTTTATACAGGTATCAAAGAAGTTCTTGATCTTACACAAAAATAGTTCTGCCCTGATATGAGCTAATAAACTATTATGTAAACTGCAACTCCATCCTCCACCCCCCACTGACGTGTAGAAACGTGGTAAACCAAGTGACTAAAATAATAAAACACACTTGTTTTACATGGATTGCTGCAACCAAAAAGTTGGTGGTTTGTTTTTTTTTTTAAATGGATAAATGCATATAACAACAAGATTAAAGATAAAGTCAAAGAAAGAAAGAGAGAGCCTTAGAGTAATGAGACATTACCTTTGGAGCGCACGGTGTAACACTCTTTCTGTAAATTTTACACAAAAATGGCAAGAAATAAATTGTAATACACTTTTAAGACAAGACTGCATCTATGTTTTAATAGCAATATAACTTTGAAAATAAATCGTTTCAAGTTTTATGTAAAACAAGAAAGCTCTTTAAAATGGAGGGCTCTAAATTTTCTTTCCCATAGGACACATATGCAGAGGTGAGTTAGGCTTATGCAAAGCACCTTGCAGAAGTAGAAATCTGCTCAGATCCTTAGTATTTTAATACTGGAGTAACAATAATAACTATCAACAAATTACTTTTCCTTTCACAAATCTCTGAAATTAACTAAGACAATAATTATCTTTTTAAAAGAGAATAATATATACTGAGTATATACTTAAAATACAAAAAGTTGAATGTCCCTGGGTAATTTCTACAGGAAATTACTATTGGAAAAATTTGAGTGGAAAAATAAGTGAAAGTTCAAAACAAACATAAATTCTAGGATGTTTTTATTAATTCACCACAAAAAGTTGAAGAATGTTTTATGCTTCCACATTTGCAATCTCTTTTTGTTGTTGTTGTTGTTGTTGTTCTGGTCACATATCAGAAGAGGCCACTAACTGAATAATCAGCAAATGTCTGGACTGCAGTTACTAGTCACTGCTGTTAAATACACTTTGTTGTTCGTTGCTAAGTCACTGAAAATAATAGTCACTAAAAAAATATGTCAAAATTATAAAGCAGCATTACTAGAATTTTAGACTGTCTCAGAGGATAAAAAAGCAAGAGAAATGAAAGTAGAAGAGTATGCTTCAAATTAGGTCACAGGACTGACTTTCCTGTATTCTCTCTAACTTTGCCCATTACAAAAATATATGTTTTTCGAAGACAGACTATCTGGTCAACTTTAACTACTTTAAATCTTCAACATATTTATTACCACTCATACCCAAAGCCATAGTATACAATAGACAAGAAACTCTCAAAATTCTTTATGAAGGTTCAGCACATAGTAAGTCATAAAATTATTTTTAAAAAACAAGCTTTAATTTTGACATATGAATTATTATAAAAAAGATGTTATTTCAAATAATCTGGATTTTTCAAGAAATGTGGAAAAAAATACGTGACTCTAGGTCTAAAGTAGTATGGACGAGGGAACGAATGAGAATCTCATTCTCTAATCTTTTAATAGGACAATTTTCCCTTAAACTCCTGAAACTCACAAATCCTTCATGGAAGGGGAACCAAATGTACAGAGTTGATTAAGAAAGGGCAACAGAAGCTAACTATGCCCCTTTTCAACGCTTGACCAATGGGTTCCAAAGGCCAAAGAAAGGCACTTTCTAAAATTCTGCACAAAGTTTAATCTACTATACACTAAAAACTCAAACTCACTACATTGAGTTGGTGCTTACTGGAGGGACCCTCCACTGGGTTTTGCTTGTTTTACTTAATTATCTTTTATTGACTGAATTCAGAAGTTATAATAAGCATAGATTCTCTCCTTTGTCAACCCATTCTTGCTAGAAATTAGTCTTCTTCAAAAACACACTCTTCATTTCATCAGTTTATCTTTAGAAGGTCTGTTTTCTATTCCATTTGTTTCTACTCTGATTTTATTGTTTCCTGTCTTCTGTTTACTAGCATTCTGAGGCTGTAAACAGCAACAGAGGAGATGCCCATCCTTACCCTGAGAGCTGCTGGGTGATAAAAAAAAACACAAGAGAAGCACAGCCTCTGGGGTAGCAGCTCAGCTCCCTACAGACTAAATCATCAGCGCGCCTCACCAAATGCTACTAGGTACAAAATTTCTTCCAGGTTATTAACACATATGTCACATAAACACTAAATAATATTAAAACTGGATATTAGAGACGACACTTGCTATTCAGAAATACTGGGTTTACCGTTAAGCTTTATAAGCACTGTTGTATTCACCAAAAAAATTCTTAAAAACTAGCCTATGAAGGTGCTGCTCCCTAAAAAAGGAAGGAATCAAGCTAGAACTCTTCAGGTTATTAACATTTCCCAGCATTCCTCCTCATACAAATTCATGAGCAGCTGGAAGACAAAGGCATTCTCATTCTCATCTAC